GGTATTGATTGCTATCAACTCCACCAATCCATATTCCAACACACGCTTGGTTTTAGACAAACCTTAACCAGTGTTTCCAATCACTAATCAACCCCTTGCAATATAAGTGTACCGGCATGACGAGGATTTTTGGAAAACAAACATACAGTGAGTGACCGATCTCATGAAATGTTGGCTGAAATTCTGAAATGCGCTTTCGATTAGGAAGGGATACTTGGTCGCGGTAGTAATGCTGATTATCTTAAGGCATATTCTTATAAAATTTCGGACTCTGCAGGATGTTGGCTTTTTAATGCACTTCGTCAATCACGCCATCAATCGACGCGTAATTTGAAAGCAGTAATTTATTGCGTATAACATACGCAATAAATTACAGCATATCCGAGTAACTCCTTTAATCCTGAATTTCGTCCTCTTTGGCACAAGTGTCACGGTAAATGTTGCCTGCTCCTATCTTTCGATGCATAGGAAATGGAATATTTCGTTTTTAAACTTTACTTAAGGTGAGCTACGCAGAGGAACCTACCTGAGAGCCAAGCGACCTTTACAGCAGCCTGGCACATGAATTTCGGCGCAGGTTGTGCATGGCACGTATGGACGGACTGCCTGGCCTTGCCAACTACTGCGTCCACATTCTCTATCAGTCGTCTGGACGTTGCCTAGCCACCGAATAATGGTGGATGTGGAGTAAAGAACGCAGAGGATGCGGCCCAAGTTCTCCAAACTACAAACTAACTCAAGCGCAAGTCACCGCTGACGTCCATGCGGATGGGGTAGGGATGCACCTAATGGGTGTCGTCAATTGCGACGGTCAAACTGCCGTTGGCGTAGAGGGCATGAGGGCAGTGAAAGTGCGCATACATAGGTTGCGGGTTCTGACAACGAACACTAATGTATAATTGGGCATTTTAGTTAACCCCGACTTAATTGACAGTCTGGCGCTTATTTTGTTCTCGCTGAAGTGCGACAATTCATTTTGGCCGCAGCCTGTGGTTTCGAGGCAAGATGGGATTGGCGGTATTCCGTTCTGCAAACCGCACAAATTGTCGCTGAGCATAACACTAATCTGCCTTTAACCGATATTTGCATTTTACCCATGACAATCGTTTCAATTCATAGTTTGATGCGTAGTGAAGTACACATAAGTGTATACTCTGCATACGACTTCGTGCAGTGCCCTACAAAAAAGTAGGAAATTACTTCACTGGTGTGGTTTTGTTTTTTTTAAATACGAAAGATGCACAAATTTAGCGGATTCGATTAAGTACTTATTCAGCATAGGCACATGGCTGAGAACTTACTACACGCAGGCAGATGCGTGGACTAAAGCAATATCAAGTTGCTGTGCTGTGGTCACTTGAGGGTTTATATAGCACGTACAAATAAATATCACCAATTACTTACTTTTAGCAAAATCGCTCCCCGGAGTAAGTAGCCTCTTTCCGAAATTGCATCTGCAAATAGAATCAAGAAGTTGCTTAGAATGTCCAAACAAATGGACAGACATCGAATAGCACTACATACGTCACGAATTTCGCTTAGAGTGATGATGCCTCGAGTTCGCGTGGTACCCCTACAGATTGCACGTCGCACTCTCCGCATGAACTTTTTTGCTTGAAGAGGCGAATTAGTGTGGCGGCCACGACAACGACATGTGAAGGCGCAGACACGCACAAGCCGAGCATCCACAGCTGCTTTGGTTTGCCGGTTAAGAATGATTTTGTGGGTGTAGACGCCATGCTGTTCAGATCTTCATGGACGATACTTGGCAGCAGGATGTAGGGTTGACTAATGCGGTTGACTATTATAGAATCATACTCAGCAACTGTCACCACTCAACAGGAAGGGTTCGAATAACAGAGCAAACTAGGAGCACAAACAGCGTCATTCAGGGCATCGTCTTGACCTCAGAGATGTTTTTCACACGAGTTATAAGGTTCACTTCAGCTACACTAACATGGGCCTGCGTATGTCGTCAAGTTGTGAAAACAGATCTTGTGCGCACAGAAGAACCGCGTTGAGGCTCCGCGCCTACCGTCGTCAAAGCTCGACTATCGCTTCTGTTCAGAGACGACGACATGTGACGGCGCAGACACGGAAAGGCCAAGCGTCCTCACCTGCTTTCGGTCACCGGTTAAAGATGATCTCGTGGGTGTAGACGCTGTGTTGTATAAATCTTCGTGGAACAACCCATGGCAGCAGGGTGTAATGTTGACAAATGCGGTTGACTATTAGTGAATCATTTTAGTAACTGTTACCACCCAACACGACTGCCCAACAAGTCCCATTTGACGTCGCATACGATCTAATTTATGCTTGCTAATCTTTGACATTTTATTACTACGAAATTGCTTCTGTTCAGAGACGACGACATGTGACGGCGCAGACGCGCAAAGGCCAAGCATCCTTACCTGCTTTCCTATGCCGGTTAAAGTTGATTTCGTGGGCCTAGACGCTGTGCTGTACACATCTTCGTGGAATGATACGAGACAGCAGGGTGTACGGTTGACTAATGCTGTTGACTATTTGTGAATCATTTTTAGTAACTGTTACCACCCAGCAAGACTGCGCAACTAGTCCCAGTTTACGTTGCGTACGATCTATTTTTATGCTTGATAATCTTCGAGATTGTATTAGTAACATATTTTAGCTGACGATGCTGCTTCCGAATCCTTGAGTTCCATCATGAATCGGGATCTTCTTGGGTTTGCAACTTATAGTATGAGAATTCCTAATTCTCGATCATCTGATCTCTCATCCAAGTTTACCTCACGCAGCACCAACGGTTGTTCGCGAGGATGTATGACGAACGCCTATGCAAGCGACTATTTCACGACGATGCACCTGGCTGCAGGTTGTCGCTGACAAGAAGGGCAAATCGATGCTGCAGTACCTTCTCTGCAGCAGGAGCTCTCTCAAACACATACAAGTCAACCCAGCGTACTGTGATGAAGACGTAATGGAACCCACCATGTCTATCACGACGAAGATTATCGCCTCCTCAACCCCTACAGCCGCCCAAACCACCTGCAGTCAGTTTCCGGCCCAAACCTCTCATATTTCCGAGCGCACCTTCACACACTTATCGGCCTGATCGTTCACATCTGAATTTATCATACAGAGGTAGGCAAACCAGTATCTTGAATTACAACATAAACTCACTATTCCCGCCATCGCCGTTTCTTCGCAAATAAATTAATTAAGCCATTCTTCTCATATCCAATTATATCTTCGATTCCCTTCGAAATAATAGCAGTTTACAAAGTCCTGGTTCACTCCCTTCGAATGACCTTTTACATCATCTGTATTCATCTAGCTAGGAAGCGATTTTCAATTTCCAGATTTCTGCGATAATGTTGAGAATTCACCAAAATTACACGCTATATCTGCGATGGGGTCAGTGATCTTAACTTTCAATAAGTTAATGGGCATTACGCATTCAGCTAAAACACTGCTATGTCCCCATGTCAATCACGACCGGAAGATAAAACATTATCGAAACTCTGCATCTATGACGACCTGGTGGAAAACAGGTAAGTAAGAGCTATTCACCTACCCTTGATGCTTTTGCTATATAAATGTCACCTTATGCGGTCGCCATCTGGATCTATAGTTGTTTTCAGCTACCTCGACTCCTAACAGGCGATAGAAGAGAATCTGACTTCTCTAAGGTCAGTCCTGGACCTCCTCATTCGTGATCCGTTCGATGACTTTGGAGGTCAGGGTGAAGAGGACGCCAATGTTACTGAACCCGGCGTAGTTGATCCTCGCGAACATGGCATTCTATTTTCATCTTCCACTGGCTTTGGTGCTTCTTACACTTCGGAAACAGTGCCTGTCAGCTTGGATGTTGCGGCTCATCAAGACACCTCTCAACTCGGCCTCCTGCCCAAAATGCATGTCAGTTTAACGGAAGAGGTCAGAGTATTACGAGATTCTGGTCAGGAGTTCGTCAACCTGGCTACGCGTTATCACCGACCCGTCCTGTGTGACTAAATTCAAGTAAGTAATAACTTCAGTCTAGGAAACTGAGACGAATATCCGAATGCACCCATGACAATTGCCGACATTGAGGGTGTGGGCAGCACTCCCAGATAGAGACCCACACCGCGTTAGTTGGAATCCTATTCTGTTTTATCCAAGCCGCCCCTTTTTCTTGTTGTGTAAAATCCTAGTCACTTGTACCTTGTGGACAAGGAAGTATGTTGTTACGGCTGAGTGCGACCGTTTGCCGTGCCCCAGATACCCGCATCCTCTCCTGCCTCCGGTCTTGATTCTTTCATGACACCGGGCCAAGGTTGGGGGAGGAGTGGGTGCGGTAGATGCTGCACAAGCCCACTGGCACTATAGACGAATTCCCGCACAGGTAACCGTCCCTGCTCTCATCCTGCCGTGGAGTACACGATGGGCATTGCCGGAAGCAATGGTCCAACTGTTACTTTTGGACGCAAGCATATTGGGCGAACTGGTAGTCCATTGACAGTCAGGTCGGCTGATCGTTTACCTTTAAAGTCAAGAAATGCCTGCACTTCCACCATAAAGCGCCTGCCAGACAGTTGACACTGTTGACCCTAATTGGGCCTTCTGAGTCTTTGCTCCTGCACAAACAGCTCGGACACTGCGCCTATTGGAGGTGGCCCGCACATGGAGGGGAAAATTATACTTTTGCAGGTAATTAGACCTTACGGTAAGGCCGACATTTCCTTGGTGGATTTTCAGTTATCATTTGCACACTTTTGTAAGTTACTGCCTTTGTTTTTTTCTATCGCTCTTTAAAACGGCTTTCATTGCCCAAGCCGTGCATTCTGAATTATGACCTTGCCATGTTCATGTCGATTTTCCGAAAGCATTCGAGTTGGTGTTTGCCACTAATCGTTATTCATTTTATGGGACAACAGGGGGCCACTGAAAGCAGTCTTGAGATATGTTATGTTAGTAAGTTCTGCTCTATATGCTTGCTCTGAGGGCAGAGCAAGCATATAGAGCAGCAAGGCTACGATATGGAAGATGCTATGGTCAGCAATAAGAGTTCCTACGAGCGTGGCTTCGCCGGTGCCTGTATATACAAATCCGAAGTAATTGATCTGGCCAGTCTTTCAAGTACCGCTGTCCATGGAACGAAAAATGGCAAAAGGGCGGCGGATCATTACTTTGGTAAGTTTTTAATAATTCGCAAACGTATGTCTTTATCGTTTGTTTCTCACTCCGCTAACATACTTGTTTCTGCTAGCACCAGCCCTGATTTATCGGACTAGGTTCCGCGGCATACGACAGATGTGTCATCTCGTGAAATGTTTGTCGAAATTTTAGAAGTCGTTTTTGATCCGAAGAAATTACTTAGTTAAGGTTGCAGCCTAATTCCAAGATCTTTCGGTCACATCAGGATACCGACTTTTCAAGGAGCCTCCATCCAGTTGCCTTTTGCAAAAATGCAATTTTCTACTAGGGTTCTTTACCGACTTAATTCGGGGTACTCAAGTTTTGTGTTTGTAAGTCAAATTAATTCTATCTTTTGCCTGAATGCTTCCCCCCCCCCTTACTGATTTCTGCATCGCAAACAGGCGTCGTCAGCATCGTCTGAAAACGAACTTCGCCATCCGGACGCTTAGGGTGGCCCTCCTCTGCTTGATTTCTCTGTTAATTTGACATGCTTCCTGATTGTCTTCCATTAACTGCACCACGCATCAACTTTACCAAAACTCCTGACTCCCTGACCCCAGTTGATCGAAGAAACTTGCTGCCAAGAAGACCGTCACGGTTCCCAAGGAGGCAGTCTTTGTCTTAAAAGTTTCTCTTCCTCTTATCAGTGAGCAAAATTCCATTTGCTCGTCAGTTGTTACTTGTGCGCTGAGGTGCGCTGAGTCGGTGACCTTTAGCCCTACAATTTGCCCACAATGCTAATGGCTAGGTCAGACGCCTGTTCCTGCATCCTCACAGTTCAATACAAATGAGCCATCGATGAATTTCACGCTGAAATGCCTCCTGAGACTTATCTGCACTACGCGTCTGTGAATTTATGTTTGGCACCTTCGTGTTAGGTAGGAGCAATCCGAAACAATACACTCATAACTAAAACAGTCCTAGGTCTCCGCAGAAGCTTTTCCTTCTGGGGTGTCCTTTTGCTTCCAAATATCAAACATCTGCACCTACTGCCTACTTGTGTCACCGATTAATTACACTTCGTGCCTAGTTATCTGCCTCCTATCCTGGCCGGATTCCAACTGATCGTGTTCCTATCCTCTGGCAACAACAACTTTTACAGTAGTATATCTCCAGTCAGACTGTTTGCTGTATATTTGGAGTCGACCAGCGGTGTAGACTGTCAAGTGTCTCTTTCTTCTGACCTCCCTTCACTTTTGAAGCCTCAAATAATCGGCTGAGCAGGAACTTTGAATAACAATGCCTTTAAGGGCTTTGCGGATCCAGCGAATGCTTCTTACAACGGTGTATTCCCCACTCTGACCCGTGCATGTTCTCTCTATCCGGATTTTACTAACACGGCTTCCGACCTTTGAGTTGCCCCTCCCATTTCTTTCGAGTAGAAAGTGAACTCCCCTGTCTGTCTGGACCACCCAGTACGTCAATACCCCAGATTCGGGACGAGTGGGTAGCCTTAGGGCGCGGTGACTACTACAATGACGGGTCAAGCCAGAGGGATCGATGCTTTGTTCTGTTCGCCGCAAAACTATTCCTCCAAGGTCACCATGCCGTCCGACGGAGAGAAAGTATGGCGAGCGACCAAGACGTTAAAGGCAGGTACCTTAAAGCTTGGGGTAACGAAATGCTTGGGTGGTCCCGGAACCACAGTCATACGCTGGCCAGAACAAAAAACGAGTGGACATCAGCTATCAGTAATCTAGCAATCAGAACGGTGCGAGATCTCAAGAGGGTATTGAACTTTGTGCGTTGTGGTCGGTTCACATCCTCCGTCTTGCAAGATGAAAGTAAATTTCAAGCACCCGTCTGCACTCCAAGAAGGGTTTTAAACAAATGCGGTGGTTTAGTGGAAACCATAAAGGAACCTGCTTATACGAAGTTATAAGACGGTATATCTGACACTCACCTCAATGATACACAGTTATCAACGGTTCTTGCCTTGCTCGTTGTACGGCTTCCAACAACGGACAAGATTGGATTACCCTCCGGACGCATGTTAATAACAACCTTCTAAACCCCGAAGTAGGCACTGTTTGCACCTGGACGCTAAGCAATATGTTAAGCAACGGGGTGTCAGCGGTGGGTCCACGTGATGGTCGTAGTGGTCGCTCACTTGCTTGCAGGTGAGACTACGCCTCGCGTCCATTTGCTGGCATCTAACTCTCACCTGTGGCTCCACGTAGCTGGGCTCTGCTCAGCGGCCACACCCCGGGCAACCGTCTCGACCGGCGGGCTAAACCAGGCGAGGGTATCCGTGCGTGCACCTGCACGCGCGGTACTGTGGTCTGCGCTGGCCGGATAGATCTTCGCGTCGACATCGTCGAGACGAGGCTCTGCCTGGACCATCGCAGGTGGCCACCAGGTAAGTTCCCCCTCAGGTAAGTGCATTTGCTCCGTTTCTTCCTTTTGTCTGCTGAAGTTACGTGTCGTATGCTGCTCTTGCTGCCTGTCCTCTGTATGCTAGTCTATCTGTTAATAGCTAAACGACACTCGATGCCTGCTGCGATTGTCTGTCCGTCAGTCTATGCCACTCTCTACTAATAGCTAGGTGTTACGGTGCTTGACTTTGTGTGGTGCCCTCACTTTGTCTCTGACTGATGACTGTGTCCGCCTGTCCACTCTAGTTCTAAGTCCCATAGCGTTAGATAGTGTGTATGCTCTCTCCTACTCACTCCATCACATCACCTCACCACCAAGGTCCCAGGCTAATTCGGGTCGTTCTCTCACTAACAAAAAGTCGTAGCCCATAGTGCCGTCTGGGATAACCGGGCAGCCCTGTTCAGGGATGCGTTGCCTGCCCCCGCGAGGGGGAGGGGGCTAGAAAATGTGCCCTAAAGATCGCTGGGAACCACGCTGTCTGTAGGCTGACCGTGGCCGCAGACAAAAACACACGGTCGAAACAGCCAAAATCGAAACAACAACAACAACAACAACAACAATCACTCTCTTCCTCTTCCAGCCTATTCTTCTTCTTCTTCTCCTACTCCTACTTTTCGCCGCCGCAGTCGCCAGACTGGCAGGGTGAGCCCGCTCACTCTGGCAGCCTGGAATGTTCGTTCCCTTTTAGACAACCAGAGGAGCAACCGACCGGAACGGAGGACGGCGCTAGTGGCACGAGAACTGGCGCGCTACAAGGTGGACATCGCCGCACTCAGCGAGACCCGATTCTCCGAACAAGGCCAACTAGAGGAGGTGGGTGCCGGGTACACCTTCTTCTGGAGTGGTCGACCCAGGGCAGAGCGACGTGACGCGGGTGTCGCCTTTGCCATCCGGACTGACATCGTGGGACGACTGCCCTGTCTGCCGCAGGGAATCAACGATTGCCTGATGAGCCTCCGCCTGCCTCTCCGGCGAGGAGGCAAGTTCGCCACCATCATCAGCGCCTACGCTCCGACGATGAGAATCCCCGATGCCGCCGCAAGAGACAAATTATACGAGGACCTGCACGCCCTCTTGGCGACTGTGACGAAGGCGGACAAGTTGATTGTCCTTGGTTACTTCAACGCCCGCGTCGGCACAGACCATACTGCCTGGAGGGGAGTGCTGGGTCCTCACGGTCTCCGCGGCTCCAACGACAATGGTCTGCTGCTCCTCCGCACCTTCGCAGAACACCGCCTCATCCTGACGAACACGTTCTTCTGTCTGCCGGAGCAAGAGAAGGCCACCTGGAGGCATCCTCGGTCCCGCCAGTGGCACCTGCTGGACTATGTCCTCGTCCGAACGCGAGATCAGCGGGACGTGCTGGTGATGAAGGCGATCGCGGGTGCTGACGGGTGGACCGACCATCGCCTCGTCATCTCGAAGATGCGTATTCGCCTACAGCCTCGCAGGAGACCACAAGGTAAGCGACCCCCAGGTAAGCTGAATGTTGCCTTGTTGTCTTTGCCCACTCAGCATCTTCATTTCAGCAATGAGCTAGCTCAACGGCTAGACAACCTTCCTATCACTGCCGACGCCGCCGCTGCCGAAAACGGCTCTGTGGAGAACCGCTGGTGTCAGCTGCGAGACACGCTCCAGTCGACGGCGCTCGCCGTCCTCGGTCGCGCTCGCCGCCAACACCAGGACTGGTTCGACGATAACGACGCCGCCATCAGAAATCTGCTTGCTGAGAAGAACCGCCTACACAAAGCCCACGTAGATCACCCCACTGAGGACAACAAAGCTGCCTTCTACCGCAGTCGCCGACAGCTTCAGCAACGACTGCGCGAGATGCAGGACGCCTGGACTGCTTGCAAAGCTGAGGAGATCCAAGGCTACGCGGACCGCAACGAATGGAAGAACTTCTTCTCCGCGATCAAAGCTGTCTACGGTCCGCCGACGAAGGGCACTGCTCCTCTCCTCAGCGCCGACGGCAGCACTCTCCTGACTGAGAAGACGCAAATCCTACAGCGATGGGCCGAGCATTTCCGAGTCGTCCTCAACCGCCCTTCCGTCATCTCCGACACCGCCATCGCCCGTTTGCCGCAAGTGGAGACCAACGTGGACCTCGACCTCCCGCCATCTCTCCAGGAGACCATCAGGGCCGAGCAGCAACTCTACAGCGGGAAAGCACCCGGATCGGACGCAATCCCTGCTGAGGTCTACAAGCATGGAGGTCCCCTACTGATGGATCACCTGACTGCGCTCTTCCAAGAGATGTGGCGTCAAGGTGAAGCCCCGCAAGACTTCAAAGACGCAACTATCGTGCACCTATACAAGCGAAAAGGGAATCGCCAAGTCTGCGACAACCACCGCGGCATCTCCCTACTGAAGATCGCCGGGAAGATCTCCGCTCGCATCCTGCTCAAGCGCCTCAACAACCATCTGGAACAGGGCCTTCTGCCGGAAAGCCAGTGCGGCTTCCGTCGTCATCGTGGGACCACGGATATGATCTTCGCAGCCCGCCAACTTCAGGAGAAAAGCCAGGAGATGCGGACCCACCTGTACTCTACCTTCGTGGACCTGACGAAAGCCTTCTACACGGTGAATCGTAAAGGACTGTGGAAGATCATGCAGAAATTCTGCTGTCCGGAGCGATTCACTCAGATGGTGCGTCAGCTGCAGGACGGTATGATGGCGCGAGTCACGGACAACGGAGCTGTCTCAGAGGCATTCGCAGTGACCAACGGAGTGAAGCAGGGATGCGTGCTGGCACCAACCCTCTTCAGTCTTATGTTCTCTGCCATGCTGATGGACGCCTACCGCGACGAACGCCCTGGAATCCGCATCGCCTACAGAACGGACGGTCATCTCCTGAATCAACGGCGTATGAACTTCCAATCGCGTGTATCCACAGCCACCGTGCACGAACTCCTCTTCGCCGACGACTGCGCCCTGAAAACCACCTCGGAAGAGGAGATGCAACGGAGCATGGACCTATTCTCCGCCGCATGCGAGAACTTCGGTCTGATCATTAACACGCAGAAGACGGTGGTGATGCACCGACCGCCGCCCAACTCAGCCACAGCCCCTAACGGGCCGCACATCAACGTGAATGGGACCCAACTGCAAGTGGTGGACAGCTTCCCGTATCTGGGCAGTACCCTCTCCCGCAACACCAAGATTGATGACGAAGTCGCCAACAGGATCTCGAAAGCCAGTCAAGCCTTTGAACGCCTCCGAAGCACAGTCTGGAATCGCCACGGTCTCCAACTGAGCACAAAGCTGAAGATGTACAAGGCCGTCATCCTGCCGACGTTACTGTACGCAGCAGAGACATGGACGGTGTACACGAGACAGGCACGCCGACTGAACCACTTCCACCTCAGTTGTCTCCGTCGCATCCTGAGGCTGAACTGGCAGGATCGAATCTCCGACACGGAAGTACTGGAACGAACGGGAATCCCCAGCATCTACGCCATACTGAAACAAATGCAGCTGCGCTGGAACGGCCACCTGGTGCGCATGGACGACGAGCAACTACCCAAACGACTCTTCTACGGAGACGTCACGAAGGGTTCTCGTCGTCAAGGGGGCCAGGTTCGCCGTTACAAGGATACCCTGAAGTCCTCCCTAAAGCACCTGCAAATCAACCCGACCAACTGGGAAGTTCTCGCCCGCGATCGTCCGACATGGAGGAGAACAGTGAAGACGGGTGCTGCTATCTACGAAGCCAACCGAATCGCCGCCGCCAAAGCGAAACGCGAAGCCCGCAAATCACAACTTCGCCCAGTCCGCAACGCCGCCGCACAACCTCCCCCTACGTGTCCTCGATGTCAACGGACATTTCGGGCACGAATCGGACTTGTTGGACATCTTCGAATCAACTGTGCCTCTCGAACTGCTCCAGCCATCGTCCCCCGCCCGCCTCTTCCTCGTCCTCTCCACCACCAACTAACTTTGATAACTCTTCTGAACCACCACTTCCATCCTCGTCGTCGTCCACCTCCTCCCTATCCACTGCCCCAGCGGCGGCCGTTCAGACTGCTTCCTCTACAGCTGACACCGACACCGCCGACCTCTCATGCCCACATTGTCCACGCACCTTCACCTCGCGCATCGGCCTGGTCGGTCACTTGCGAATCCATCGCACAGAGACTGGCGAACCAGTGCCTGGAGCACCAACCTACACCCACCGCACTCGCCTCAACTGCCCACACTGCCCTCGCACCTTCACGCATCGCATGGGTCTATTCGGCCACATGCGCATCCACGACGACCTGCGGTAGACAACCGCCGGTCACACCACACATTCCCTCACTCCCTACCTCCTGACACCATCACCTCACCAGACATCAACCCTCACACACCTCATGCACTCAACTACCGCCTCCCACGCAAGTGGGAAGTGTGCATTTCGACTCGGTCCCCATGCGGCTTCGGCTGCACGTGTGACTTGTGTCCGAGACTATCCCGACACGTCAAGCGTCGTGGATAGGAAGGTTGCTGATTGAGGCCTGCTCTCGGTTCACGCAGTTCGTCACGTTGTGTGTGTGTTGTGTGTAGTGGCGGACTGGTGGGCTGGGGATGGGCTGAAGCAGCACCTTCCACGGCCCTCTCACGCAGGTGGGAGACACGCCGTTCTACCCCTGTTGTGCGGAATCCTGGTGTTTGTGTTTATGGGGGGCCAGGTCGTGCTGTGGCGCGCGCAGGCATGGTCAGTTGACCATGTCAGCCACCGCGCCCATTCCCCACTCCAGTCTGCTGACCGGCTCGGACAGCGGCTGGGGTGTGGGAGTGGGAAGGGAGAGTGAGGTCGACGACTCAGCGCACTTTCTCCTCAATATAAACAATCTGACGCGCTTGAAGCTATCACGGTGCGCTAAAAGCCGTGGCTTGGAACGTTGCCAACTGACGGGGTACCTTGGACCTCCTCCTTCACTGGAGGCCGTCTGAGAGTCAGGCTGCAATGGCTCCTTTTTAATGTGGCCTTTATGGCCCTCCTACCACAGTGTGCGATCCGAGCCTGGCGTTGGCGGCACGCCTAGGTGCGGCTTCGGCCGTGCCAGCCTCCAAATCTCTGTTGTGTTGGTTGAAATCCTGGTTATTGTTGTGTGGACCAGGGGGTGTGGTGGAACTCCAAGGTGAGGATCCGTCCGAGCCATCCACCTGCGGCCTCCCTCGTCTCCGGTCTTCTTGACTCTGTCTTGACACCGGGTCCAGCCGGGGGAGGAGAAGAGAGTGTAGGTAGATGCAGCGCAAGTCTACTGGCAATATAAACCCCTGCGCAAGTCACCGGCCCTGCTCCCACCGCTGCTGCAGCTGTGGGGCATACGGTGGACATCGTCAAAATCGACGGTTGAACTGTCATATTTGTTTTTATCTGAGATGTTGGGTGAGGATGAAACCAAAGTTGATTTTACTCCTTTAAGCGGGAAGGAAAGTGAGCACAGTGAGAAATTACAGCAAACTGCTTATTTTCTTTTCTAACCTTCCGAAATCAACCAAGCTCTCATAATCTAATGAAGTGCTAACCCGTGAAGCACTGCGATAAAACATATTGATGAATAGGCTGACAAACTATTGTTCAGCATTCCTCTATCATCGGCCGGTTTAGGAAATGACCGGCTCGAGCTACAAGCGCCGATGCGTGTAAGATTACTGAACACTGAACCGGTTATATATAATCATATTATAATCATATATAATCATATCAAAACATAAGTGGACGACCATCACCTCAACAAGCATGCCGGAAAAGGTATGCTTCTGCGCTTAAGAAACGTTATTTCAAGTCAAAGTCCTTCAACGAATAGTCGCAGGCATGCACTGTGTGAAATTAACCAATTGTAGAGTCTAAAGCGAGGAACCATATTTAACGCCAGCACTAGAAATTTCAGAAGGGCTCCAGTCGGTAACAAGTAAGTAACCGACACTCAGGCTAGTCCTACGATATCAGTATACCAGATGAGGCATCTGCATCGTCTCCTAATATTTATATCATTGGGTATAATTTTGTTCCTGCTTTATGAGGAGATCATCTCGTTGCCTCCTCGCGCCCGTGAAGGGGAGACAACCCTTTCTTCTGCACAGTACCTGGCACAACGATGTCATGTCCTTTTTTCAAACAACGCGCCGGACATACACAATGAGTTCAACCGACTCATTCCCCTGGAGACGCATGAATACTTTCTAAGAATGAACAGGCATCACGGTAAAAAGTGCAAGAACTTCAAACGAAAACTTTTCCCTGCGGAAGTACCGATTCGCGAGGCAGAGAGAGAGTTTCCTTTGGCATTTCTCCTTACGGTATACAAGGACATTAATCAAGTGGCGCGACTACTGCGCCTCATATATCGGCCACAAAACTTCTACGCCATTCACGTGGACAAGAAGTCCTCACCCATGTTCTACAAGGCAGTCCAAGAAGTTGCAAAATGCTTTGGGGACAATGTTGGCGTAGTTCCTCGGAGCGAATGTGTTAACGTCACCTGGGGAGAATACACGGTCCTCGAGCAGGAGCTTGTTGCTGCGCGTCTGCTGCTCAAAATGGGGAAATGGAAGTATTTGATAACTTTGACTGGCCAGGAACTACCTCTGAAGACAAATCTGGAATTAGTACTAGGTCTCAAGGCGCTCAACGGCTCAAACATCGTCGATGCTAGCCTCAAACTTCGGGACGAGTGGCAAATCCCTAAAGTCAACTTATCTTTTCCGGTAAGTAAACAATATTTCGAAGTATTATTCATAATACTTTAATTCGACTTTGTAGCATTTTTCATGATAGTTAGTGAGACCAAGCTTCTTCCCAGTGTCTTTCATTAGCAGTTACGTCTCTTATAACTTCACTCATATTTAAGAATGCTTGTTCCTTTGCTTAAGTAAAGTGGTGACGACTTTCAATAAACAACAGGATGCCCCGCATTCTGTTATCCTTGGAGCCCATTTTAACCAAACCCAACCTGGATATTTGCTGATTGCAGCATCTCAAGCTTGAATCCGGTCGGAATGCAGCTTGGGTTTGAAAAGGGAATTGTCCCATTTTTGGAACGCCGAAGCACGTTATGCAGCTGTTCCATGTATATCTTTACTACATGTTCTCAGATGATCTGTGTGGGGCATACAAATCGCCCGCCGAAAAGGCAAACCCAAATGTGCCTAACCTACAGGAGCCAGAATAATACATTTTTCTGATAAGTTAAATGAAAAATCCCAAAAAATCTCCTCTTTAGACGTGAAAGTAGCGAGAGACCCTATACTTGTGCAGTACCTTTTTAAATGAAAAAATACTCGCTGTATATGTCTCGCTCAAACTAATTCGAGCAATGCCTAACAAACATGCAAAAATGTGCCCATAAATGGTATACATATAACTTTCGCATAAGCGTTTGACCGTTACTGTTGTCGTTTGGATCTTCAGTCAGTATCAGTATCAGTCCGTACCGCATATTCCAGGCGCGGTCGCACAAATGTCCCATATATTTTTCCAAAGACATCTGTACTCAAGTGAATAAACGTTCTGCGTATCGCGCTGCGACTTTATAACACTGCGTGGTGACGCTTAGATAGTCTTTAATGAATACACCGAGATCGTTTTGCACATCTACGGTTTTAAGTGATTGATTGTCCAGGAGATAGTGTCGTGGGGGTTCATTTGTTCTTCGCCTCGCTGATACTACGTGCATTACTGCAGATTTTTTGACGTTGGATTTCATGCACAATTGCTCGCTCTATGCGTGCAAATCCTCTACGTCCTCTAGTAGTATCTTGACGTCATCTTCATTTTTATGGCTCTCCAAAGTTTAAGATCGTCTGCAAAGAGCGCTATATCCGATTTAACTTCCCGCACTATTACATTTACATAGATAATGAATAGGAGGGGCCCAAGAACTGACCCCTGTGGGACTCCGCTTGTAGCAGGTACCCATTCTGAGCAGTAACCACACGCAGTGACTTTTTGTCCTCGATCATTTAGGAAAACTTGAATTCAGTTCAGAATATTTCCTCTTATCCCTACTTCTGACAACTTTGGAACGAGGCGCTTATGTGGGACGCATTAAAACGCCTTGCTGAAGTCGAAGTAAATGACATCTACTGGATGTCCTTCATCCATGGCCTTTGACCAGTGTTCGAGTGACGTAAGCAGGTTTGTGAGGCAGGACCTCTTTTCGCAGAGGCCATGTTGAACTGAGGTGGTGTGACAGCGGAATGTATCGAGTGATGTTATTGATATTTTAACTATTTTTCCATCAGTTTGCGGCAAATGCATGTCAGACTCACCGGTCGGTAGTTGGTGAGACAGATTCGTGATCCTCCCTTGTGGATAGGCACGACGTTTGCCAACTTCCATGTGTCAAGTAGTTGGCCAGCTTGCGGCGAATTTTGGAAGATTATAGAAAGTCGTTTTGCTAATTCTTCAGCTAGCTGACGTATTAGTATACCTGGGATCTCATCTGGTTGATTGGAAGGTTGTCCAGCATTCGCTGACATCTCCTCGTAATGCTTCCGTCCATAGTGTGTGTCCAAACTCTAAATTCATCGATTTGAATTTACCCCAGCCAGACAATTCTTAACGACTTTGAGCTTTGTTCGCGGACAGCTACGAGTGTCGTTTCCCAAATTTATGCCATGTGATCACAAGAACCTAGGGGCGGGTCCACATTTATTTCATCAACGCTTACGACGTTCTTGGTAAACAGTTAGTCTAGGAAACTAGCCCTCTGACCTTCACGCATCCGAGTCCCAGTTCGAGCATCTTGAAACAGGAATCCATCAAATGCCACGTCTAATAGCATTTGGTCGAATCCTCGTCTGTGGCCCTTAACTGTCATAAGGTCCCAGTTATTCCGCGGAGCTTTGAAATCTCCTACAATAATAATGTTTTGTTTTTGACTGTCCTCGCGGAGTCGAGTAATTAACGCTTGACCTTCGTCGACAGGTTGGTTTGGAGACCTATATACAACGGTAACAGTAACGGTTTCGGTTTTCGGGACCACCAAATGACACTGTAGAATCTCCAGATCATGCTCATTTACACATTCTTCAACAGGGTTATATTCGATCGCATTGCTGAAATATAGGGCAACTCCTCCACCTCGCTTTTTGGTTCGGTCTCGTCTTATCACCTGATAACCATCTAAGTGTATTTGGGGTCTGTGACATCTGGGTGGGCCACGTTTCAGTTAATGCAATAAAATCAGGCCATAGTTCGGCTACAATTACTTTAAGTTCGTCGAGTTTGTTTAAGAGGCTTTGTACATTTCTGTAGAAGAACTTAATTTTACGTAGGTTGTTGCTTCGAATTAGTTGCCGGGCTGTGTAGCCTTTATAGGTATGACAGGCGTCCTCCACAGGAGATGTTTTTGTCGTCGAACAATCACTCCGTTCTTTATTACTAGTCCCTTCCCTCCTTGTCCTTTCAAGGTCGCCAGGTCCGCCGTCAGCGTCCTCCATTTCATTCTCTTTTGTAATGAGTAATCCGGTTGGAAAAAAGACCTCTATGGCCAGGGACCCTCCCTACTTTTTGTTCAAGTAGAAGAGCTCTCTGGAGTTTATTTTCTAAAACTATCTTTAAAGGTCTTGGTTTTGCCGCTTGAGAGCTCGCGCTATCTTTACTGTTTAGTCGGAAAAGTTTAAGAATTTGTATGGTTTCATTTTCTTTTATTATGCTACCCAGACACTTTTGCAAGGTCATGATATCACCATTTATCCTACATCTGGGGTTATCGTTGGTTGATTCACGAAGTTCATGGATGACTATGCATTGTGATCTGTCCACAGAACCTCTTTCCGACGAGTTCTGTTAGATAATTGGTCTGACTGATGATGAGACTTCCCCAATTTGGGCTTCGACGTTAGTTGCATGAATATTTATGAGAGTATGTACTTCCACTCCCACTTTGTGTTCATTTTTATTCGGTCTTGTGTTTGTCGACGCTGCTTTAAAATTAGACTCATGAGGTGCGCATACTGTCTGGGGACTGTTTTCCGCTTTCGTCGGTCCATCTTTATCATTTTCATGCTCGGCCCTCGGTTTCCTTCCTGGCGAGGCTGAAACCCTCGCCTTCGGATTTTTGCTACCTTTCTCCATAGCCTTTCCTGTCGTCCTTTTCTCATTCTTTACTGATTTTAGAGGTTTCACGTCACCACTGATTCCATCCTGTCCGTCAGCTAGCCTGCTAACGACGACGGATAATGTTGCGCTAAGAAACTCACTAAGAGCGCAACAGGCCAGACGTATTAGTATACCTAACCTCATTAGACCTTAGAGGTACTGATGATTGTTAACGACCGTGGAACAGGTATCTGAGCCCGGCCTCTTTCGTATGCACGGTGACGTCAGTAGAGCAGCTGCTGGGAAGTATCAGACATCTAGAAATAAATCCAGACGGGATGATGGAATCGTTTGACGTGGTCTCCTTATTCACCTCCATCTCAACCGGCCTTGCCACAAGCACCATTGACGAGCGTCTTCATGGATAGTTCCATGAAATTGATCAACGAATTAGACGAACGCACGTCATCGAGCTCCTGGAATTGTACCTCAGAATTTTCTTCACTTTCAACAACCGGGTTTACAATCATAAGAAGGGAATGCCGATGGGTTTCCCGCTGTCTGGGTCGATTGCCGAGGCTGTTCAGCAGAGTCCTGAACCACTGGTCTTCCGTTCCTGCTCTCCAAAATTCTGGGCCGAATACGTCGACGGTACATTTGTCGTAATCAAGAGGAACGACGTTCAGGACTTCAATGTCTTGTTGAACTCAATATTCTTCGACATGCAATTTATAATGGAAGAGGAGAAAAACAGCCAGTTGCCCTTCCTTACCGTAAACGTCACAAGGATAGCTATTGGGGGATCAGAACTGCGTTATGCCGAAAGGCAACGAATTATAGACGTATCCTCCAATTCCGAATAACCACCCCTTTGGCTAAGGACGCCGTTGTGTCAGAAATCTTTTCCAACGAGTTCAAACATACTGTAGTGACGACGACGGGAGACGGGGGGAAGCGAAATATCTACATTCCCCATTCACAGCCAATGGTAACCCACGATCCTTCACACGGTAGTGCCGAAAAGGGTGTGCGCGTGAGCAATCTGACGATGAGAAGCTGAAGTTCTGGCTCACGATCCCTACGTGAAGAATGGTTCTGAGGCGACAGTAAGAATCCTTAGCCAACTTGGGATTGGCGTGGCCCATAAACCGGAATACGTTACCAGGCAGCAGATAATGCGATCCAAAGACCAGCTACAGACAACGGAATAACCAGCAGTGATCTAAAGCATACCTTGCCAAAATTGCAGTACGCAGTATGTTGGTGAAACGGGCAAACGCCTCTGCATAAGATTACATGAGCACCAGCCTGCAGTCAACCGCGAGTATATGCTGTCACTGGTATATGGTTACATACAACAGGAGAAACACAGTCTCGCCTTTCTTGAAAGCAAGCGCCATCGGCCGAGCCAGCGACAAGATGGCCAGACTGGTTCTCGAAAGTTAGTCCTCAGTTGGTACAATAAATGAACCATAGATCTTCATCCGAACTACCAGGCTCTGCGTGCGAGGCGCCAGTCAGTCCAGACGGGGCCGACAGCACGGGCGAAGAAATCGCGGCTCTCTCAACAGTTGTCACCTTCAGAGCAGGTGGAAAAAGTCAACCGGCAGTCAGACGACCGACGCAAGCCATCGGCCCACAAACGCACCCAAACAGTCGAACGTGATTCGCACATGCAACGACAGTTGATCAGCCCATCAGGTTATGAGGGGAAGACCCACGTGTCCACGGACCTAGCGGCGACGACGACCGGTTATGGGACAGAGGTTACACGTGCGCCCCAGCAGTCGGTTAAGCAGAGACCAAGGCCAATCCCGGCCAGCAGGCAGGTCAGAATTCGTGCAACAGGCATGCCTATAACAAGAGACGGTCGGTGGGAAGAACAATTGTGGTCTAGCAGGAAGAACCGCCCCACCACTCTGCTAATAAAAAAGAGGAAGGTTCCGAAACATCAGCACCCATACAGTATGGCCCATTGAATCTCCTCCTTTTCATCTTTGCGTTCTTTTGGGGAGGACGAGCCGGATATATATATATATATATATATATATATATATATATATATGAGGTGAATAATTTCGGAAATTAATCAGTGCAGAACTTGGAGGTAAATCTCCGGGACATGACTTTTTAGGGTCAGAACCGAAATTTCAATGAACATTTGAGTCGAAGACAATCAAGTACTGTGGAATAAACACGTAATGCCCATTCTACAAACAAGTAGTACTACGAGTAGTATGAATTCCATATGGTAAAGGTATTATACCGTACTCCCGACCCAGATACTTGCTAAAAGTCCAGACACGTGTTTCGCCGATATTCTGCCGCTGCGTGACACAGCTGCGAGGGGTTCGGCTCTTCAGTGGGATCCCCAGCGTTCTCTAGCGATTTCCGGTGTATGAACTCCGGAGAATAATGAGGTGAATAATTTCGGAAATTAATCAGTGCAGAACTTGGAGTACTACTCGTAGTACTGCTTGTTTGTAGAATGGGCATTACGTGGTTATTCCACAATAGTTGATTGTCTTCGAATCAAATGTTTATTGCAATTTCGGTTCTGACCCTAAAAAGTCATGTCCCGGAGATTTAACTCCAAGTTCTGCACTGATTAATTTCCGAAATTATTCACCTCATTATTCTCTGGAGTTCATATACCGAAAACCGCTAGAGAACGCTATGGGTCCCACTGAAGAGCCGAACCCCTCGCAGCTGTGTCAGGCAGCGGCAGAATATCGGCGAAACACGTGTCTGGGCTTTAAGCAAGTGTCTGGGTCGGGAGTACGGTATAATACCTTTAATATATATATATATATATATATACATATACATATATATTTATAAAGGTGAAGTTCTTTGGGAAACAGGAAAATTTTATTGTGAATTTTCGAGACTGGTTTCTCAGCTCGTCTTCAGACAACGGGTGTGCAAAAACAATTAACTTTTAGACTGAGTCTAGCAAAAGCAGTCCATGATTGGTTAAGGTTGTCATCTCGGGATTGGCTGACCCAGTTTGAATCCGTCCTTAACGATTTTGTATGTGGCATCTAAATCGATATGTCGGTTGATGCATGCCTCATCTGAGTACATTTCCTCCAGGAATTCGCGGCCTTTTCTTGTTTGGCAGGCGCCAACAATGCGAGTGTTCTCCCATGCGAATTTATGCCCAGTATCTAGTGTGTGCATGGCCACCTGGGATAGATGGTCGCGTCTCTTCACCGCTAACCGATGCTCATGTATACGGGTTGAGACAGATTTCCCAGTTTAGCCACAATAAACGGCATCACAACTAGAACATGGGATTTTGTAGACGACACCTTTTCTTTCGAGGTAGCCGACCCTGTCCTTAGGGTCCACAAGCTGTGTGCGTAAGGTAGCTGCCGGCTGGTGTGCTACGTGTATCTGATACTTTTTCAATTGTCTTTCGACAAGTTCAGATATATTTTGACGTAGGGGAGAGTTCGCCATGTGGTTTGTGTTGGTGCCTGAGTGGCCGTAGCATTGGAAATACCTTTTCCCTAGAGTTGCTGGTGCCTCATGCATTGACGTATAAAGTCATGCGGGTACCCATTTTGGGAGAAGAGTTTGTAGAGGTATTTCATTTCTGCTTGATAACTTGTTTCGTTAGAGCAGTGGGTTTTGGCTCGATTCAGAAAGCTGTAGACTGTGCTCCGTTTGTGAGAGACAGGGTGGTTACTCTCAAAGTGTAGGATGACCTCTGAATAGGCCTCTTTGCGATAAACTGATGTCTGGAGGGATCCATCGGTTTTTCGACGTACAAGGACATCCAGGAATTGGAGTTGTCCATCGACCTCTGTTTCCAAAGTAAATGTAAATCCTGGAAATATAGAGTTAATATTGGTATGGAGCAGATTCAACTGATCTTTCTTGACGATGACAAAAGTGTCATCTACGTATCGCAGCCGAAGTTTTGGATTGACTGTGGGAAGGGCTATGCTCTCATATTTCTGCAGTAATGCTTCTGCCAGGAAACCGCATTTTGGTGAACCCATGGAAGCACCTATTAATTGCCGGTAGCATTGATTTGCCTGTTTTCCGGTGTTACCAACATAATTGGCCTGACCGCAATTGCAGTCTATGCGGTAAATGACCCCCGATTTCTGATTTATGGGAATCGATCATAGGGCTGCATGAGTTGCCGGCGGATTGTGGAAAACAGGTCCGCACGAGATTGCATGACCATGAATTGGCCGTGAGACGGAAGGATAAACTCTATTTGGTAGCCGCCCACGCCTCCTCGCCAGGACACGCCTTTGACTTTGGGAGCGTGAGAATACTAGGACAGTAGACAACCGAGTTGCGCGCCTGCTGTAGGAAGCGTGGCGCTCAACTGAGGACGCGATTAATCGACATATCGATCTGCCAATCGCCTATCAAGCACTGCGTGAACAAATCAACAGTGCAGCTAGAGGTCACCCCGGCAGAGGTGAGCTAAATACACGACGAGCTGTACAGTTTTTTCATCCCTTGACGATGGGCACGCGTGAGAGTTCGAAACGTCGGATAAATAAACCATTGGTCCCAGCGATCGCTTTCCCGTCTTCTTCTATATACATATATATATATATATATATATATATATATATATATATATATGGAAGAGGAGGATGAGGCGACCTCTGGGGAAGAAGGTTTATTCATCTGACGTTTCGTGTTCATGCTCGAGCACATCTTCGGAGATAGGCTAAGTGAGAAATACAGGGTTTAAATAGGCCATCTGCACTCTCACCCGACAGGTTCGTCTCATTCGCTTCTCGTTGGCCTCCCTCTCGCGTGTAGATGGTGCCTGACGGCCTCGTATGGCGCTGGCAAATAGATACTTCGGTTGATAAAGTTCGTGTCTGATTTCCAGGCCTCGATCACTTCCCTCGCCAGTTTGCTTTCGGCTCGGCCGAGCACCTGGGCATCTGGCCTCATCCTCCTCTTCCATATTAACACCTGGGGTCAGCATTTTTGCCTATATCCATATATATATATATATATATATAGGGGACACTCACCGATCGTTCATACGGAACTCACTCGTTCCGTTGTGCCTTATGGACTCTCTCTCGAGCCCAACCAGCAGCCGCACAGCGGCGCATGATATATAGGCAGAATGGTATTGCCGACAAAGACAAGGCAGACTGGAATGGCCATTTCTGGCTTATTAGCCGTCGTCAGCTGGCCATGCCATTCTGCCTAAATATCATGCGCCGCTGTGCGGCTGCTGGTTGGGTCGCGAGTTCGCGGCTCGGGTTTTCAACACTTCGGGCTTGGGTATGGCTGGCTGACGACGGCTAATAAGCAAAAAATGACCATTCCATTCTCCTTTGTCTTTGTCAGTAGTACCATTCTGCCTATATATCTATATATATCAGGTGAATAATTTCAGAAATTAATCAGTGCAGAACTTGGAGTTAAATCTCCGGGACATGACTTTTTAGGGTCAGAACCGAAATTTTAATGAACATTTGAGTCGAAGACAATCAACTACTGTGGAATAACCACGTAATGCTTCATTGAAATTTCGGTTCTGACCCTAAAATGTCATGTCCCGGAGATTTAACTCCAAGTTCTGCACTGATTAATTTCTTAAATTATTCACCTTATTATTCGCTGGAGTTCATATACCGGAAACCGCTAGAGAACGCTGGGGGTCCCGCTGAAGAGCCGAACCCCTCGCAGCTGTGTCACGCAGCGGCAGAATATCGGCGAAACACGTGTCTGGGCTTTTAGCAAGTATATAGGTCGGGAGTACGGTATACTACCATTAATATATATATATATATATATATATATATATATACATATATATATCCCGTTCATCATCCCCAAAAGAAGACGAAGAAGAAAAAGAGGCGATGCCATGGACCACACTGTATTGGTGCTGACGTTTCGGAAACATCCTCGTTTCCATCATCAGAGTAGTGGTATGGTTTTTGTTCCTGCTAGCTCAGAGTTGTTCTCTCTCGCCGCCTGTCTCGTGTTATAGGCATGCCTGCTACACGAACTCTGACCTGCCTGCTGGCGGGGGATTGGCTTAGGTCTCTCCGTGACCGACCGCTGGGGCGCTGGTGTGACCTCTGCCCCCTGCCCTCTGTAAAAGTCTAATCATAGTTGTGTGCACGCATATATGGTGACTTCCCTAGGCAAACAAGCTACATATATGTGGCATAGGTCATGGAATGACGACGAACTGCGAGGTCGAATTTGGCCAAGTTATAATGTCAGCGGAGAGGAACGACAGAGAATTCGCGTAATTCGATACTGTACTGTTTTGGGCTTACTTTGACTTAATTAAGCCATCCAAAATCCTGACCAGCCGCTGTAACCAGAAACTAAGGCCTGTGCTTGTTCACAGTGCAGATGGCCCACAGAGGGGTCAAGCATATGGGGCATAAGCACTTCATCGAATCCACGTTCATCAGTACCTCGCTACCTGCCAGTCTCTGCCGCTGCAGATCCGGTATTTATTTTCTCAGGAATGGGCGCAAACGGACTCATTGGTTTTAAGGAAAAAAACATAGGGGTTCAGGAACAGGCAAAAACCTATTGTGCGTGTCAACCGTATCCACGTATACACATGCAAAGGATCATTGCCGAAACTGGCAAGGGAGACTAAATCCACCAGTTTGGACTCATATGTTTTCATTAGATAGCCAGATCCGATCCCAGTTTTTGAAATTCCTGGGCCTCCTACCCGCGACCTGTTGTTTGGAAGTTAATCTTTCTAGCTACTGCATTGCGGGGTCGATCCCTAGGCGAGTTAGGAAAATATGTTTGATAAATGTTCGACTCCCATTCCCCAAGATGTAAATCAAGTGCGCTATAAACTGTTTCGGATACTACCTCTCCTCAATGATCAAATTATTTTAATTGCAGTTTCATCCGGTCCTGGTTTACTCAGCTTCACCACATCCCTCGTTTGATAATCGTGACTGACGAAAAAACTTGGCTGCGCATGGTTAATATGGTGCAAAAACGTTTGATTCCAGTTTGTACATGTATGCCTCTTTAAATAGTTAAGACAAATTAGAGATTTCATCCCGTCCGGCTACCTTGAGCATGGTCATTGATTATGAGTTTATATGCACCCTTAGGACTCTGAAATTATTTATTGTCTATTACTCATGAGGCATTTCCTTTTGTATTGTTACCTGAAACAAAGCTGACCTGGATGAAGAATGCAGATCACTTCGTGCTGAAAAGAGAATTTGTGGAGTTCATGTTTAACGACAAGAGGGCTATCGAGGTGACAGAAGCGCTGAGGCAGTTCTCGTATAAGAAGCACCCCGATGAACAGTTGTACGGAACCCTAGCCTACAATGCCCATTTGGGAGCCCCCGGTGCCTGTCGGAAACTACACGAGTTCGGTGATGAGAACTTGGATGTACTTCGCCTTCCGGAAATAGTCCGTTACAAGATCTGGATGCCAACCCCATGTCCTACCAAGTACGTCCGTGATATTTGCATTCTCGGTTCTCAACATTTACCGGAATTGATCAACTCCCACAGGCTTATTGCCAACAAGTTCCATCAGGACTATTTCCCCGAAGGATATGACTGTCTTGAGTACGCAATTGCTGATCGCGCCTACAAGGGCCCAGCAGCCGGCTTCGATACTTCCGTTTTCGCGAACCTCTACTGCTCTTCTGACCATATATAACCGTTCGAAATCCAAACTGTATGTTTTGCAGCTTGTGTAGAATTGACTCACGGTGTTACCGGCAAAAGACTACCAAAAGCATTAATGCCTTGTTTCCTGTATAATTTGAATTCAAGTCTCGGAATCTTCACCCTCTTATATTCGTTTACACTTCCAGATTAAATTAAGGGTGCACAAATACTTGCTGAATGGATATTCTACGATGTAATATTCTCTTATTGCTAATATGTAGATTTAAGTTCACGGGCGTTCTGACACCTAGAGCGAATTGCATATGGATCAGGGAGGTCAGTATCAGGTTTTTTGCTGTCTTTCATCCGCCATGGATATGCGAATTGATTTTTGGCTTTTGCTTTGATCCTCAGTGTTCGTATTTTTTTGCGAATTGGTGGACATGTCGACCAGACGCTCTATGTTCATATATGCAAACAAGGAATCAAAACATTCTTCCAAATGGGTCTTATGACGAAGGGCAAGTTTTATGTGTAATCACAACCCTGAAGACCAAGCATGGTGCGGCGGTCGAGCGGATTAAGCAACCGTCAAGTACAACAGTGCTCGAGAGATCAAGTCCGTATTGCGTCGAGCCGCCATGGGCAGAATTGCACAGGTCTAGCATGCATTTAAAGTTATGCAAGAGGAAGATTTACGGAAACAAATTTAGGCAGCAACTGCTCATATTGGGAATGTTAATATATCTCGACAGTGGAAGGCCTGATGGATGCTTCCATACAATCCTGCTTGGATAAGTTCATAATGATCTAGCTTGCGCGACATGCTGTGTTAATGAAAATGCATCGCCTCAGCCTCTTATCGATGTTGCAGAAAAACGCTGAAATACTGACGAGACAGTACTTGGAACAACATGTTGTGTAGATCAAGTGCAAATCCCAGCTGAAGGACGAGGCTTGCAGAAAATTGGTGCGAAGTTACGATAGATTTTTCGATATTTGCGAATAGGTGGAATCAAACGACATGCAGGGTTCTCGAATCCAATTTTATTGAAGACAGCTGTGAGCATAAACTGTCTGAAATTTCCTTTTTGTGAATAAACATTTGACATAAGATTAACCTGTTTTGCTCATCTGGGCGAGGCCTATAAAGCACTATGTATTTGACTAAAATATATTTTGTCTTAGTCAAAAAATGCTGGTCGAACACCGAAAATATTTCAACTGTTGAATCTCGTGCGGGGACCCACCGTCGGCGGCAGTTAACAACAGAACAATCGGTACTTAATGGGCGTGGTAGAAGATGATATATCGGGAGCACAAGGCTACGCGGGGCCCTGTACCCCGGCGCCAGACCGACAAATTGATTGACTGAGTTCTCATCCGAAATCTAGGCTACAGGTAATTCTCAGCCTGCTTTTCTTCTGGCTTGGGCGATTATTTTGGTAGCTGCTAAGTTTAACTCGTGACCCATTTCGTAGATGTGGGCTGCCACTTCCAACAATTCATCTCTTCATCGCACAGCCAGTTTATTTTTGCGTATGCGCGAACCGAGCATACGTTCAGTTTGGCCAGGACAACTTCGGGACGGGATGCGATATACTACCCCAGACTGCTTCGCTGGATTTCTTTGGTCTTTATTTCCCGAGACCTTAGTGCTTACGAGGGTTTTAAGCCGGTGTGCAAGTTCAACACTTGTTTCATCACTGCGGATGCCCTTCCCGTCAATTTCATTGAAGCTCTGGAATCTATGCTCCTGGGAAGCAAATCGACCGACGCCAAGAAACATTTCGTTTGACAACATGCTTCTTCCTTGCTGACTACACACAGACCAACCTAATATACATCGCAGGGCGAGTAAGCGCTATGAGGAAACTTAGGAGGGCCTACAGAATTCTCAACTTACCTGCTGACAAGGGACAATCGACTGTCGTAATAAGAAAGCAAGAGCTCTTTCTAATTACAGAATTTTTTTTACAAATCAACACAGAACGCATTAGTTAAAGCAGTGATAGATTCGCTAAAAAAATCGTTTAGAGAATATGGGCACAAAATATGATCGAGTCAAATGAATGGTGCCAAATGAAGGCAGCTGATAACCGCTCAAACTCCATTTAATGGTCTTCCGAAGATTCAAAAACTAAATGTCCTTCTGCGGCCAAACACTACCTTAAAAGTCCGTGCCACCTTATGTTTAGCAGATGGTATGCACTCAAAACCGAAGTTCACCCAGGCTGTTGCGGATACCTCAGTACCATCAGACCCTCGATACCCATAGACCTCCGAGATTGGGGGATAAAATCTAACGAAACCATAGTCGTTTTGAATGTGGCATCGTTATTTACATCCACCCCACCAAACTTGCCACGCGAAATCTTACGGAAGAGTTTTAGGGAGGAATAAGATGGGACTCAGAATGTACTCAACATTGAGTCCCTCATGAGGCTATTTGGATTTTGCGGAAAATTTATCTCTATTTTGCTGCAGAGACCCGCCAGTAGATCAAGGAAACTCTAATGGAATCACAGATTTCCCATATAGTGCAAAAATGATCCTACAGGAGATAGAAGGATTGCCTACATTCAACAGACTACCGACCTATAGGAAATAACTGTCTACTGCCAGGCGACGTCCATTTTGGACAACGGAATTAAATTGCCTGTCTGAATGAAAAACGGAAAAACAAGTAGGAGGATCAAACGGGTCCGTTTTACACACGAGTGCGCGCAATACAGACGGTGCGGTTTCCATATTGCGAAACATTCATATGCCAACTACAAGATCAAAAATACGTGTTCTGCATTCGAATCAGAAACCACCATCGGCCAATGTTCCCCAGCTGTAAGATTTTACCGGAAACTCACGATTGCGATATGCATTTTTGTCAAATTAGATGTCCAAACACGTCGGTGTGCGAGTCTTCAAAAGCGATGTGGAGAAGAGCCCCGAACTGATAGGACAGTGGGTGGTTGGAACTGTGCGAATAACTATATGGCATAAAAATCTTGTTGTTGTTGGAATATATACGCAGCATGTGGATATTTCACGAACCGCAATATTTGAAATTAAAATAATTCATAAAGGATGTTTAGATGCGAAATTCACTGAAACGATATTTTCAAACGTTAGTTCGTTGGAGCCTCGCCTCGTTTTTTACATAAGAAGACTTTCTTTACATCTAAAAATAAAGTTTACTAACTTGCAACCACTTTTGGAGTTTTCGGGATCTTGCGCTTTGTTAAAAAAACGGCATTTAGGTCGGTACAACACTGCCCTCAGTATTTCTTTTATGTTTCTAATCATTTCAAAGTGTTACTTAATCGACATAAATATCGGGTGCATAAACTGGTGCCGGTTTGTGAGTGATTGTCATTTGTTTCGTAAATTTTGACACCTTTCATAAGTTAGATCAGCAACTGAACATGCATACAGCATACTTCATGGGTATTTTCAGCAACGAGGAATGTCGGTTTTTAAATAAGCTTCTTTTTGGACTTCTGATAAATCTATTCACTGTAAAATTAACTATTCATGTAGCTTGCAATTTACTATCGATATTTAAAATTCTAACAAAGTAAAATATCATATGTTGAAAAAGCCGCACATAAATATTACCTATATGCCCACTTCGTAGAAACGTACGCCATCCCCGTAGGTTGCTGAAAGTGTCAGCATCGTTTGGCTATACAAAGATTCATAATCGTGAGATTTTTTCTTAATCATTAAATGTGCATTAATACGGCATCGCGTTAACACGTTCATGAATGCTACTCATACAATTAACAACATGGTCGATATCGACTGCTCAGAATTATGAGAAGCACATGAATCCTTTCTAAGGGCATTGAGAAATTTGTGATTTTCCCTGTCAGAATGTTTGCAGTATGTAGTTTGTAAACCTGGAAGTGACATGCGGCGGCCGGTGGGACAGAAAATTACTCTGCAATTGAAAACTTCCCTAAAAACCAGAAGATACTGCTTCTTTCAGTAAAATATTGGGCGAATTCGTAAATTGCCTCCTAAATGGAGAAAATAGAGAACAGTTTTTGCGCCGTCTTCTGTATTATGCATATCCATTCGCAAATGCATCGAATACCAACTAAAAAATCAAATTGCATATATAGGCATTTAAAAATGTCCAGATTTTGCAGCCCAAAAGCCCACCAAAAAACCTGCATCCAGCCGTGACTGAAATACTTCAGGATTATTCTTTATGTTGATTAATATTACAAGCATACGTAAGTTTGCTTCTTGAATTCCAAGCGTGTTGCTGAATTTCGGTTAAGATGTCGTGAAATAGTATATTCAATGTACGCATCGCTTCATCTGGCATTTCAGCATTGGTTCTGCTATCAGTAGTGCTGATTGAAATCGCATTGATCCTACCGATGGATTAATTACTGCTTGGCACAGGACGAAGCGGTCGAACACAAGACACTTACATGTGCTGTATTTTTAGACGCCGGTATCATGGCTCTGCTACAGACCCCTGACAACAAATTCTAATGTCGAGTATCTGCTTGAAATTTGGGTGTGGTTGGTTGATAGTACAACTGGAGAATGTGCCACAGTTAGTCATTCTGCGGCACTTCTTATTTTCCCTGAGTCTTCTCCCTCACCACCCAAATCACAAATCGCGCCTGCAAAAGAGCCGAAAGGCAATTTGCGTCGAGAGGCTGCGCCAAAATCGAAGAATGCAGGGGTGGAATATGGAGTGTAAATTAAGGTGTTCAGTTTTCCATTTCCTGATGTTTCACCGTCGTCAGAGCAATCTAAGTAAACATCAAAACATCAAAAATGTATCAACGAAAAGCCTGACGATCGTCTCAGGCTCATATCGGCAATGACAGTGATTGCGAGTCCTGATCTCATTATTCATTCCCTCAAAATATGTAACTTTAAGGCCAGCAGCACTCGGAAGTGGTTTCCGGCCTCAATAGTCGTTATTATGCGCGATGACCGAAATAAACCATCAATAGCACTTTAATCCGAGAGTTTTGGTGGAATGCGAAGCATTGGCCTGATTTTTGACCAGGACTGGGGTATTTT